AGTTCGTTTGCACTTGTAGAGCGATTATCTACCTTGAAGTAGAGGTTTTTAAAGATCTATTTGAATTAGTAGTTGGAGGCTTACGTATACTGATGGGCCAATGTGATGGCTTTGGTTTGGAAAACTGAAGACGTTCCCCTCTCGGTTTAGACCCCACCCACTGCCTTGCTTGATTAAATGAATCATATGCTTACAACTATTAGTACTTACTCAGCTGATGGGATGATCAGATGACAGCTATTGTAAGTGAATTTAGCTTCAATGAAAGGTAAAATTTTTCCTGAATAACTTGATCTCTGGTTTAGTATTGTTTGTTTAAATCTGTAATGGAGTTTTTCATTTTGGTTTCTTTCTCTCTTTTGATGCTGTTTAATGTAGTTGTATTAATAATTGGATAATGAAGATATGGAATTAGTTTCTATTCAATGCATTCTAATCATAATTCATGTGTGGTAAAACAGTGGTCAAGCAAGAGGTGGTGGCTTCGGGAGGTCACGGGGTGGTAGAGGACGCGGTCGCGGATTTCGAGGAGGCAGCAGAGGACGTGGAAGAGGAGATCGTGGAGAAAAGGTATCTGCAGAAGATCTAGATGCTGATCTGATGAAGTATCATTCAGAAGCAATGCAGACAAACTGATGGGTCCGGTAGCAATGTTTGCCTCTACATCCAGTGCCTAGTGGANTTCTCCTTCTTGAAATTCCACGAACCAGTCCCTGTTGGGACACATATGATAGCTATAAGCTGAGTCCATCAACCATATGTCTGATGATGTTGATGACTCTGTTGTAACTAATGAGAAGTCTGAATCATCACAATCAGCTACATTTGAATCCATAATGGCCTTTCCATTGTGATGTTTGGCCTTATTCTTTAACTTCGGACAATCTTTCTTCCAGTGCCCCTTTTCTCGACAAAAGGCACATTCATCTTTGCTGGGTTTAGATCTTGACTTAGATCTTCCTTTCTTTGTCCTCGTTTGATTTTGAGTACGGCCCCTCACAATCAGTGCTTCTCCTTCTCCGCCCTTCTATTTTTCTCCCTTTCTTTGTTCATAGCTGTACAAAGCCGAACAAACTTCTCTGAGAGAAACTTCATCATTTCCATGGAATAGAGTAGTTTCAAGGTGCTCGTACTCATCAGGAAGTGACGCCAACAACATCAAGGCACCATCATCATAAGTTATATCCATATTTTGCAAATCTGTGACCAACTTATTGAAACTGGTGATATGTTCATTCGTCGTGGTACCAGGAACATAGGTGAAGTGAAACAGTCTCTTCTTCATGTACAATTTATTTTGACTGTTTTTCTTCAAAAATTTATCCTCCAGTGCTTTCCATAATTTACTTGCAGAAGTTTCCTTTGTGTATGGATATTTTTGCTCTTTAGCAAGGTAGGATCGAATGGTACCGCAAGCAACACGGTTGATAATTGTCCAATCTTCTTCTCCAATAACATCCGGTCTCTTTTCTTCAATGGCAAGATCTAGCCCTTGTTGAAAAAGGACATTTAGAACCTCGCCTTGCCACATCCCAAAATATCCGGACCCGTCAAAAATTTCTACCGCAAATTTCGCGTTTGACACAATTCTTGTCATAAGCGAAGATGCCAATGATGATGTATTGTTGACACTTGATGTAGATTCTTCTTGTTTATTGTCTCCAATCTTTGACACAAATATTATTTAATAGTTGACGACACAAATCAAGATTATTTCCTTTCTGGTGTAGAAGATCAGACTAAGCTGCAACCACAGAGCATACTTAGACAGTACCTTGGCTCTGATACCAATTGTTGCGGAAGCCAAATGTATATAGTGTGAATGAGTCACAACTACTATACCAAAAATTATGGCAGCCACCAAATAATAAATAAGACAATAAAGCAACAATAAAAGGAACACCAGAATTTACGAGGTTCGGCCAATTTTGCCTACTTCCTCGGACACAACCAATATTTTATTCCACTCCAAAATACAAGTGAAATAATACTAAAGAGAGAAGATACAAATGCCTTAAGAAGATGAGAAGGCAAATGAGAGGTGTGTTTAAATCCTAAACATTAGGCATTCTTTTATAGGAAAAAATTCCCATCCAAAATTGTCACCCACCGATGTGGGACTTTTGACAATTCAACATTACTCTTCTATACTACGGCGAGTTATGATTTGTTGGTTATATGCACACATGGTACGGTTATGTTTGGGCCTTGTAGCGAAATTCGAGCGAGATGGTGATTAGGGTGTGGAATGGTTGATTGCGCCTTGGTTATATTCTTTATGGGATGTGGTATATTGTGTTATTTGCTTCTCCGTAGTTATGTTTATGCACTTCTTGTACTTGATGTCGAATTACGTGTGGTTGTTGTTTTTTAGCATTGTGGCTTGAGGTATTTCATATGGACCAGTGTTTGGATAGGGTCGCGCACTGTAGCGAAGTTATGTTGGGTTATGTTCCTTTGTGTTTGATTCGTGTGTTTTGGTTCTACGGTGTGTGATGGGTTCTTAGCATTGCATTGTGGTGGTACTTGTTGAGCTTGCGAGACGGTTCTCTCATTTGAGTTATTTTCCATATTTGAGTATACTTGAATTGTTGCGTATTGGTGCATGGATTGCATGGTTTGCTGCTGTATTTGATAAGATGAGGTCGTCGGACCTAGAATGGATGCTATCAGATCTGATTGCAGTATATTTAGAAGGATAATATCACTAATCGGCTTAGAAATTGGCTATAGTTATTTTCGAAGGAGAGGGAGCTCTATGGCTTGTTGATTTAATGAGCGATTATGAGTTTCTGCGTGTTTCTTTCATCATCGATAATGTGCGAAGGTTTTGAACGATGTTTTGTTTGATATGAGGTTTATTACCAGAATCGAATTTATTTTGAGGAGCTACTGTGATCAGGAAGTTATTGCTGTGAATATTTAAGTTAGGCGGCATTCACAACCATTACGATTATTTTAGCCAAAGTATTTTGATACATTTGAGCGCATAATTGTTCGTGCAAATCTACTGAAATCGAGGACATGATACTAGCAACAAATATTGCAACTGAACATACTAAAGTAACATGAAATATAAAACTCAGATAGAAATTTGATTTTCCCTTGTCCAACATGTGTTACAGAGCCTCATAAATTTTGGCTCATCCTATTTTTGGCCATTACAATAACAAATTTACAGCTTGAATTGGAGCCAAAATTTCCAAATTAGAATTCGGATAATCTCATCCGCAGACACTTCACACTTTTTCCAACCTTTTTCGGATCTCCATGTCATCGATCCATGACACTACCTTAAAACGAATAACAGATATCCACGTGTACTTCTAAAGCAGTAACCTGTACACATTTCCTACTTTTCACGCATCCTATGTCAACCGTCGATCTTATTTTCAAGTACTTCGCCAATCAACGATTCTAATCATTTCAGCTCATCAATCCATGCCACTCTCTATTCTCCAATCAAAACAAACACCGACAATCTATAAATACGAAACGCTCATTTCACATTTTCTTCATCGCAATACATTTTACTTCTCTACTACAAACCTCTAAATTTTACTCTTCCTCTTTAGAATTTTCAATGGCTCCTAAGGCAGAGAAGAAGCCCGCCGAGAAGAAGCCGGCGGAGGAGAAAGCTCCGGCGGAGAAGAAGCCAAAGGCCGGGAAGAAGTTGCCGGCGAAGGACGGCGCCAGTGGTGCAGACAAGAAGAAAAAGAAGGCTAAAAAGAGTGTTGAAACCTACAAGATCTACATCTTTAAGGTGCTCAAGCAAGTTCATCCAGATATCGGGATCTCGAGCAAGGCTATGGGAATTATGAACAGTTTTATCAATGATATTTTTGAGAAATTGGCCCAGGAATCTTCTAGACTTGCGAGGTATAATAAGAAGCCGACTATTACTTCCAGGGAAATTCAGACCGCGGTCAGATTGGTGCTGCCCGGTGAATTGGCCAAGCATGCTGTTTCTGAAGGAACCAAGGCTGTGACTAAGTTTACCAGTTCTTAAGTTTTTAGGTCATGTGGGAAAATTTGGGAATTTAGAGTTATTTGGGTAATTAGGCTTATCTGGGAAATTTGGAAACTAGTTTTCCTTGTTTCTTTGATTTCTGATTTTCTATATTGTAACTAAACCGCTGTTGCGAAGTGAATGAACAAATCTACTTTTTCGATATTGCTTGTTACATCATTGCTAATTATTGTCAGTCAATTGAAATGTAGTTCTAAATCATTTGTTATTAGCTTGTTATCTTTGTTAATTCACAAATGATAGCAGCATTGGTATATTTTGGTTTAGATATCTAGTATTGTATATACCACACAAGATATCTTAAGTAGCACTAGATAATTGTATTTTGTTCGTCTCTAGGGAAGGTCTAAGAGAAATGTACTTTGTAGATGGTTATGTGATTATTAAGGTTGATATTGATGGTGGAGGCTTGTTTTTGTTTCTTGTTGAATCTGGAACTGAATGCTTTTAATAATAATGAGAGCAACGTGTTTGAAATTCCTCTAGATATTAGGGGATTTGATAGTAGACAGAGATTGTCAAATAGATGAAATCCTATTCTGAAATTGTTTCATGAACTTGTTACGTAGTGTTACAATTATGCACTGCAAGTGGACATGCTCTCACAGGCTAGATTGAGTTGTCTTTATTTTGCTAACTCTTCTGCCTTGACGATGCTTGTTCCAATGGAATTTGTAGTTTGTGCTTGGATCGGTTTATGCAAAAAAGATTAATAATTTTTGGAAGTAGTTTTTGCAATCTCTTTGGAGGTTTATTGATTGGCCACCAATTTTAGCTTGTAAAGATGTATGTGTTGAATTGCAGGAGCTCTTCTCAGAAGCTGGTGACCTGAAACGCTATGCTATACATTATGATAGGAGCGGGCGATCAAAGGTATTTTATAACCGAGACTATGCACTTTAAAAGAAAACAATGTGGTTCGGCTGAGGTTAATGGAACTGCTTCTTCAGGGAACGGCAGAGGTGGTCTTCTTGAGTCGACAAGATGCACTAGCTGCCGTTAAGAGGTACAATAACGTTCAGCTTGATGGGAAGCCAATGAAGATTGATATTGTTGGGACCAACATTGCCACTCCCGCTGCCCCTGCTTTCAATGGTGCTTTTGGTTTTGGAGACGCTAATGGAGGTCCCAGAAGGTATGATCTGTTATTCACCAGGACATTGTTAAATTTTTTTAATGTTTTCTCTGAGCTTTTCTATTTAGCTCTTTGATGATAAATGAAAATAGGCTTTGATAAGATTGAAACTCTAAGAGAGTGCTGGTTGCTTCATGTGTGGAAATTCCTTTTATGCACTTGCAGGCCTCTACTCCCACTCCTTAGAAAGGTCGTGAAGAAGTGTATATATTTGATTGTGGAGCACAATTTTGTTCCTTTTTCCTGGGTGGTACTTCTAGTATCAAGTTCTAAAACGGTTTGACAAGACTGGTAATTGTAGTTCAGCGGTAGAAGAAATTCATGTATATACGAACGAAGTGGAGAAATTAGCTAGTTTTGTCTGAGTCAACTTCAGTTGAAGTGAAACAAGACATTGAATTTGGGAAAACTGATAAATGGGAGGTCGGTTTAAGACACTTAAATTGGAGGTAGTCTTGTGGGTTGATCATACAGAGGTTTCTTATCGAAACAACTATCATGCAAAGTTATCGGGGAATGTAAGCTTTGTTTGGCTGCAGGAAGGAGAAAATTGAGTCTAAAGTGGGAGTTAGTAAGCTTTTTTGGAAACCTTTCACGGTTTAGACAAGAGTATGGGGACAACAGTTATTTCGAGGAGAAATTTATGGGCCCAAGAGAATACATTGTCTCATTATGTCTTTCCTCTATCTTGTATAGCAGGCATACTGTCTTTCTTTTCTTTCCCTTCGCTTCTCGTTTTTTTTTACATTATGGACATTCAATAAATTAATTCAAGAAGATTTGCGTTTAACGATACACGTAGTTTTGAGCGCATGAAGTAGATTTTGATTACTTGAAATAGGAACTGAACTAATGGAGAATCATTTCGTACTTACTGGGATTTCTGTCATAAATATCAAGATTTTTTTCTTTAAAACTCATACTAAGACCTTTTCTTTTAGTTCGTTGCTCCATTAACTTCCCTGTGTTAGCTTCGACTGTCTTTAGTATATTGAGTATTGGAAGTATTCTTTGTTAATTGGATGTCCCCATAAGGGACAGTCTTGAGAGTATTTGACAGGTGTTTAAATTGGTAAGTCCTTTTTTTGGTATTAGCACAATCAACAAATTAGATGTTCGTCCCCTTGAAGCGTGACCTTGTATTGAGTACCTTGCCTTTCCTGAGGAATGTTAAAGTACATAATTGTTTATTTGATGAAAGTTGTTACCCAAACAAAGTCATCATGCAACGTGGAAGTCGGTGAAGAATCGAAATTGTTGCACTGAGAGCATTATCTCCTTGAAGTGAAGTTTTAAAAGATCTATTGGAATTAGTGTTGGAGGCTTACTATGCTGATGGGCCAATGTGATGGCTTTGGTTTGGAAAACTGAAGAGTTCCCCTCTCTGGTTTAGACCCCACCCACATTCTTTACTTGATTAAATGAATCATATGCTTACAACTATTAGTACTTATTCGGCTGATTGGATGATGAGATGACAGCTATTGTAAGTGAATTTAGCTTCAATCACGTAAATTTTTTTCCTGAATAACTTGATCTCTAGTTTTAGTATTGTTTGTTTTAAATCTGTAATGGAGTTTTTCATTTGGTTTCTTCCTCTCTTTTGATGCTGTTTAACGTAGTTGTATTAATAATTGGATAATGAAGATATGGAATTAGTTTCTATTCAATGCATTCTAATCATAATTCATGTGTGGTAAAACAGTGGTCAAGCAAGAGGTGGTGGCTTTGGGAGGTCACGGCGTGGTAGAGGACGTGGTCGCGGATTTCGAGGAGGCAGCAGAGGACGGGGAAGAGGAGATCGTGGAGAAAAGGTATATGCAGAAGATCTAGATGCTGATCTGATGAAGTATCATTCAGAAGCAATGCACACAAACTGATGGGTCCGGTAGCAATGTTTGCCTCTACATCCAGTGCCTAGTGCAGCCAGACTTTCTGTACTTTAGTGTTCTTCTCTTTTCAAGTTGCAAGAAAGAAAGTACTTATAGGAAGATTTGAACATTTGCTGTATGGGAATTGAGCTTCTTCTTTATTTGTTCCCTTGATTTGGATTTGTGCTTGGGTGGAGTGATTTGTGTATTCTACCAACTCTTTAGTTTATTTAAGAGGTGGACGATTAGAGTGGAAATGCTTATCCTTGCCCATCCCACGACAAAGTTTTGCCTCGACGGTGGCAGACGCCAGCTGAAGGTGGTGGCTGCCTTGTGACCTGAAGTCCTGCAAGTGCTTCTTGTAGTCAATTATTTGGGCGTCAATCGTGAGGTAGTTTTTGTCACTTTGTTCTTGTCCACTGGTTTCACAATTGCAGTCCTTGTGCACTTTGCAGTTTTGCTGTATGTGTCAGACTTAATTTTATCCATGTTGATAATGAGTTCTACAAACTGTTGACTTAGGAAGAACGTAAGTGGGATTAATTTTGGGCGACTAAAGCTGCCTCCCCTGACTAGAACTGCCTCCCCTGATGTACTATTGCAAATATATATATTTCTACCTTTTATGACATGTTTATAACGAGCTTGAAAAACTGTTGCATTAGGAACAGGTAGGTCGGAACATAATTGGGTGACTAAGGTGAATCCTTTGAATGATTTTGTCTTATTGCAAATACACGGGATGAGTAAGCTGAATGATGGTGTTCTCGGGGCCTGCAGACTCCTCATCTTGTGGATGATATGTTGATGTCGCCGGAGAAAGAGGCTTCGTCCTCTTTCTGTGAACATGATGTTTGAGTGAGGTGGCGGGCTTTCTGCATTTCTACATCATTATGGAGCTTATGCCCCGTACTGTAGAATTGCTCGAGTTTGCTGTCTTTGCATCTCGGTTATGTGCATTTAGATCTTTTATGTGCTTCCCAAAAGTGCTTCTCTTGCAATCTCTTCAAGTGTGGAGCATCATCCAGCATTTCATATTAATTAGGCTGTTGGTAATTGAAATTCAACGATTAGAAACTTGGATCATTGAGTTGAATATGCGTTCTGCTATGTCCTAATTCAAAAATCAAAATTTCTTGGTTTCTTCTCACTGTTATGATCTTGCTCGGAGTTGCAACTAGATCCTTCACAGACAATGTACATTAGCCGCCCAGTAGGTATGCTGATTATCTGCCGGGTGATGTGTCAACTGATACTTCCTTGTGAATGGCTGTGGTGCTAAAGAGGGCATATTGACTCCCTTAAAAAGCCTGAAATACATATGCTGAGATATGAATGGTGGCTGATCGTCGTCAATGGATCTCTTGTAAAGAATGTTTGTAGCTCGAGCGACCATGTTTCTGGAGCAGGTTTGAGCTTTGTTTTTGATCGCCTTTTAATCAAAGGTGTTTGCAGCGTGTCCAAACAACAATCTGCAACAGAGTTAAGGAACAATGAAGTTTCTTTCTTTCTGTTTGTAGGTGCGGGTCCTGTCCATATTTGGGAAGGTAGTAGTTTACGAGGAATACTTTTATCTTCTTGCGATTGTATTTTATAGGTTCTTTATTGTGCATTCTTTCGGTGGTGATTACCTTCACCTTCGGCCGAGTAAAAAACTTACACATTATGTAACGTTTGCAGTATTTGGCAATGGGCTTGTAGTGAATCTATATGATGATTTTTCTGCCAGTCCACACCTAGTAATACCATCGGCGCTGCATCCACTTCTGATCCTTTATAAGAAAATCAATGCACTTTTATGTCTGTTAAAATATTGAGTCTTGCCTTGAATTTTCTTTTTTGCTTTACCTGATTCCTCTAAAAGAACAAGGCACAATGTGCGAATTAGTGCACTTACAACGCTGCAAAATATGAGAGGTACTGAGTGTTCAGTTTTAGAAAACGCAGAATGCTCTTACAATTCCAAAACTAACCAAGAAACAAAAGAGTACTCGTGAAACGCAATATTTTGGATCATCTTACTGACGTATGTGGCCGTGTAGGTCATTTTGTTCTTTTAGGCTTTCATCTCGAGTTATTCATCCAAATTTAATCACGGACAAATATTCTGCTGTTTTCTGTGCACGTATGAGTTGAGCCAGCTAAGCTGGGAACAAACCAGTATTGCAAGGAAGTAACATATTCGCTACAGTAGGGAAATAGAGAATAATCATGACTTCCGTAAATTTACACCATCGCCACCGTTGAAAACATTAATCCCCCAAACGTCCTAATTACATGCAGGAAAAAAGCTTTGATACATCAGTGACCCAATTTCTGGCCAAAACATACAACACAACACTACTCCACACCAGCTAGATGTAGAACAATTGGTGCGACATCATTGCTCCTTTGGTCTCCTCACTTTATCCCAACTTGAAAATATTAACCTCAAAAGAGAATAAAATATAGCCAGTATGCATGACTTTATAAAATTCCAAAATGAAGAAGGCCAATACCAAGGATATAGCAATCGGAAAAAGAGACTTATGATATGTCGAGGGTATCGTCCAACCTGAAACAACACATTAACGCATGTTGTTAATAAAACATAACATGACCAAAAATAGGAACATTGGGAAAAATCTTCCCAATGTTCTCTAACCGCTATCATATGCTTCCATGTCAAAATGAATTTCATTCAACATTTACCGAGGCACTGGCAAAATAATTGAAACAACTTTTCTAACTAGTCATATTTTCCATGCCATCCGCCTATAAAATATCACCAGGGTCAACCACAGAGTAGGTTTGTCTACTTCTAGTCTAGACTTCACCAACAGAACTCAAAAAAAAAAAAAAAAAAGAAGAAGAAGAAGAAAGAATGCTACACCAAGGATTTGAACGGGTAACTAACAGTAATTTTTGAACTACCTTCAGCACTACACTAGAATCACCCCTCATGTCAAGGGGATCCAACAATTTATATATATGCAAAAAATTTGTCGTTGACCTCTTTGCACAGTGTAGGACTCAATTGGATCCCCTAGTGTCCTAGCTCCGCCCCTGTTCATTAGTGTTCTGTAATTCTTTATCTACTTGTTAGGTGCATTGTGCATCAGGCTACTTTGCCACACCAAAAGAATTTTATGATAAATACATACATCTTTATTAATCCATAAAATGTCTGAAAGAAATATACTTCATCGAATATTGGTTTGAAATGATATCAAATCATAAGTCTATTCCAATAATAGAAAGATTACTCACAGGATATAGCAAATCTAATGCATCCCATGCTGCATGGCGAACAGCTCTTGTTGGGTACATGGGAGCACCTGGTGATGTGAAACTATACAAGCAAGTTTTCAATCTTGTACTGGTAGCCATTCTCAACTCTAATCCTGCAGAGATGTCACTGTAATGTAACTCCATACATTTTGGAAAACCCGCACTATTGCAGACATTCAAATTAGCTAGAACTAGCTTTACCTTGAAGGACTTTCAATTGGGAGAGGTAATGCAACAATACTGGCTCCACTTTTAGTTTTTGAAGCTGAAATCAGAAGTGTAAATGAGAAGATACACAGGGAAAATGAAGGAAAAGACTCTGGGGATGTTGAAGATCCTGTTCTCTTACCTGATCAGCTAGTTCAGTTACAAATATATCCGCTGGACCACCAATCAAGAAAGCATTTGGAAAATCAGGAAACTGCCTTAAAAAACTTCCTAGCCTGTCAGCTGCAAATAGATTCAACATAAGCATGTAATCTCAACCTTGTATGCAAGGTTACAGCTAAGATCAGCTTACCTTGGTTATATAAGAATATGAACCTTGAAAGGAGGAGAAATAAATCTCTTTGGGCCTAACAAAATGAAGACAGCGGATGATGTTAGGACACACCCACTAAAATTAGACTTGCTTTGACACACAGGTAAATCAGAAGGGGCAGACATCAGACCTGCAACGGGATCTTCTTTAATCGATCCGGAACAAGGGCAACTTCCTCAAGCAGATACTGTAACACACATCCATATAATCAATTGTCACCATTTACTTCCATCGATCTAAAAGCAACAAAAGAAAGCACCAGTGCTACACTTCACTCCAAATACTTCAAAAATAAAAATCAATTCAGGGGTATTTGACCAGAAAAAGACTCTGGAAACGCCTTGTGTTTGTTTGGATGTCGATCCTGCGAAAGGATATGTCAACCAATTACTTAACACACTTTAGTATAACCCCCACACCCCGTTTCCCGACCTGTTCTTCTTCACTTATGCACAGTGAAACACATAAAAGAAAGAGCAATAACTACATAATTTCTAAAAAGAAAACCTCTGTCTGACACAACGATACAGTTTGAAAGAAATATTTAGCAGTCAATTTATGAGCATCAACAGAGTAAATCTCTGAGTGGTGTATATATATTAACATAGATATGAAGAACACAAAGGTAAAGAGAGTTGATGATAATGATGTAAAAGCTAAAGTTGATCCGACATGATGATGTATACCAGTCAGGCAAGAGAAAATGTATGCAAAGCAATAAATGTCTCTATATTAATCAAGGAAACTCAGGCAGGTTGCATAAGGGGAAGGCTCCTCAAGATTGTTGCATAAAGGAAAGACCCTGTATAGTGAACTTAATCACATTTGACCCTTGATATATCTAGGATATAAAGAGTTGTGCCCTTGAAGCAGTAGCAAGGTCAGCACTAGAATGTGTTAGAAAACGCACACACAGTTAACTTCCTGAGTTTCTAATTTAATAGAAGCCTCAAATGAGAAGTGACATTGGCGATCAACGAAATCTTAAAATAAAAGCAAAACTCATACCAGAATACATTTGTAGCTCCTTGAACAAGAGCTGATGAGTAGCGGAGGAGGACTTCAGAATTTTCAAGTTGAACCTCAAACAACTGCAAAGTAGAAGAATATGTAAAAGAGTAGGTTCACTACCATTGCATGAATAAAAAACACACTCTCCTCTCCTTTCCCCCTCGCCCTTCCTGCTTTTCTTCCTGGTGAGGTCTTTTTTTTTGTGTGGAGTTGAGGGTGGGCAGGACGAGGCGACATTGTATGAATTTCTTGATAAAATTTACAGATCACACCATCAGATACGGCTTTTATTATTGGATATGCCTACATAGTTGCAGACTGAAGAGATTCTAGGGTACGCATAGATATCCCCTGCCAGTTTTAAAGGGAAATGAGTGAAATTACTGCATTCGGAAAGTCAATTCGGAGAGTAAAACCTCTATTGGCCCGTTTGTTCACAGAAAAGAATGAGCAAACAAGCACAACCCAAAATATTGTGAGAAACACGTGATACATACATAAGTCCAACAGAGTAAGATAAAAAAGGCTCACCATAAGTTGGATAAAAGGAAAAAGAAAATTAAAACGATAAGGGGGTTTGAAAAGAATTAAAAAAGAATATCAACACCAGAGCCATATTTCATTCTTAACTTGTGGCCCTGGAAGGCATCTTTCAGGCCTTGAAATGGGGGTTCTCATTATACCGCTACAGAAAGAGTACGACAACAACAACAACCCAGTGTAATCCCACAAGCGGGGTCAGGGGCAGAGAGACTGTTTCCGATAGACCCTCGGCTAAAGAAAAGATGGAAGAAGCACTGACAGCAAGTGATAGCAATACAAGGTATTTAGAAAACGAAATCCAAGATAGCAAAAGAGAGTAGGAAAGAAGTACTAATAGTCAGTAACAACAGTACAAGATATGTAATGATAGCAAATGTACGGAAGGCAAGTAACAACAGTACAAGATATGTGGTAATAGTAAACAAAGGATATAAGAGATACCATATTAACATTAATACCATTGAACTAAGAAGACACAGGGAAACGCTCGACTACCTACTAACCTGCTACCCTAATTCTCAACCTCCATACCCTCCTATCAAGGGTCATGATAGGCGATTAAGATCATAAAAAAGACGTAAAAATTCTACTAACCCACTTATGGAAAAGGAGTGCAAAAGTATTTGACGTAAAAATTCTACTAACCCACTTATGGAAAAGGAGTGCAAAAGTATTTGAAGCGAAAGATTGACTCCACAGTTGGACAATCAGATCAAGGATCGGTTTTCCGTTCTGAGGTACACGAACAAAATGATCAGCAAGCACATAGTAGTAGCATGTCGGTCCTTCAGCCAGTTCCTCTGCAGCCATAATAGTATCCTCGCTGCTGAGTATTATCTCTGTTCAACGTTAAACCACAAAAAATAAGTTCTTCCTCTTGATTGATCACCAAGAACCGTCAAAATTCTGAATTTTTTTTTAGCAAATGATATCTCATACTTCTGGACATTTTTAGCTTGAAAAATAGGTTAATGAGATTCTTCAGAATGAAATTGGTATTCCATTTTTTTTAAAGGTAAAGATTTCTGATATATGATAAAGAAACAACACAGATAGTCATATCTATTGACACATATTTTGTTGTACTGATACACCTTCATGCAATTTGATTTTTTTCCTAAAAAAGAGAAGAACACAAGGAAATGAAGAGAAGGAGTATATACTATTCACTATTCGTTCAGAAGCCAGGGAACGAAAGTGAAAGGAAGGGGAGAACCAAGAAGCAAGTTCCTTATCCTCCACCAACCCCCCCCCAACCCCCCCCCCCACAAGAAAAAAAAACTAAAAGAAGCAAGAAGAAAGTGCATTCCCTTTGTTTGGGTTTGGAGAAAACAATTGAAAGGTGAGAAGAAAAAAAGAATTTTCTTGTTTCAGAAAACTGAAAGTTCCTCTTTTTCTGACAAGGTTAGTACAAAGAAAATAAGACTGATATGTTTCATACAAAAGCAAAAATTTGGTGGGGGCACAATGGAAAAAGGAATTGCTTTGAAAGGTGATTCTTTTCATCTCTAGACCTTTTCTAGATTACTCTCCCACAAAATAGTGAATTGAGTTCGAAGAAACAAGATGATCATATCTTTCAAATTTGCTTTCCTCCTTTTCCCCGCCCAATGAACCAAACATGGAACGAGAAAACTGTGACCTTCCCTCGCTTTCACTTCCCTTTCCTAGTTTTCAAACAAAAGTTGTGGAAAAAGACAAGATAAAAAATGTGAATACAAAATCCATCTTCTATCACTAATTCATAAACCTTGGAACCTAACTAAGAGATGTTTCAGAAAGTTCAGGTTTAGGAGGAGGAGCTAGGGTGTCAACATGTGAGATTTGTTATAAGAAATCATTTAATCAAGATGTGGAAAAAAACTTGTTTTCTGAGAAAAGAGTTTAGGCCGGGCGGTGGGGGGGGGGGGGGGGATAGATTATTATTTATCTCATTAAAAAATATAATCATAGTCCTTTCTTTAGTCTTACTGCCATACCCTTCTCACAAATTAAAGTGATTGAAGAGGATGAATATCACAGAGAACTAACAGATTTAGAGCCAGAATAGACGATTTTCACACGAGTAGAATGAACACATGATAAAGGTATCCAAAGTTCATGAAGTTCCTATTGCAAAGTCTTCGACATCAACGATATTTCTTTGTTCTTTTACCCATCTCAAAGGAGTACAATGGCATAAACATTAGAATGAAGCCAGGGTATGAAACCGTAGAACTATTATTTCCTCTCTTTACAAAGAGAACAGGGGTTTCTTTTTACGAATAAATGTATTTCACTAAAGTTAAGCAACCAAGAAGGTGCTTCTTGCAAAGTTGAAAAAAAAAAACCCTAGTATAAATATAAGCCACAACAAATACCCTAGAATAAATATAAGCCACAAAAGTTGGTTTTATATTTTCCCCAATGCTAAAGTTTTTTAGTGGACTAAGTTGAAAGTTCAGATAGGAGAAGCAAGCAGTCATGTGACTTTTCTTTTGTTTGATCATATGAGACTAGAAATGAATGCTTGATCCTCTGCTCACTTCAGCTTACTACTTGAGTTGATGCCAAAAAATTCTTACTACCTTGTTCACCACTTCTCCACTTAGGTTGTCAGTTACATTCTCGAGAAATTGATATGCACCGTCTTCTCCATCAAAACATCCCAAGGCAACTTCAATTTATCTCGGTGCTATACTTTCTCGATATGGGAATCTCTTACTTAAATCCAGTTGTACTGTATTAGGTCAGGTGATATTACATGGTGGCTATCGCTGTAGCAACTGCAAGGACATGACACTCTGTTCACTCTATTTTATTTGTGAAATTATCTTTCCTACTTTCTTAGCAGGTCCACAACCAGTGGCTAGCATACTAACAATAATTCACCAAATGATTCTAGCGTTATGATGTGAAGACTTTGGCTTCCATTTTTACTCTAGATTTTCTTCATTCGCCTTGTAGCTACAACAATAACATACCCAGTATTATCCCACACCGTGCAGTCTGGGGAGGTTAGTGTGTACGCAGACCTTACCCCCACCTTGTGAGGATAGAGAGGTTGTTTCCAATAGACCCTCGGCTCAGGAAAGAATAAACACCACATTCATTTGCCTTGTAGATGTCTACATGAATTAACACGGAATGTACTAGTCAAAATATTATGTCTTTACTTAAACTATGGGATATACAAACTTTAACCCAATATTGCATTTGGGTTGGTCACTCAATTAGCTTTCTTTCCAGCGTTGCCTGATATTAGTTATCTCACAATAGGCAACGAACTTTTTATCGTTTGAAACCTCATATGAAACATTAATGGTCCCCATCTTAAAATACCATCTCCTAAATGATATTAAATGAAACAGAGTATGTCGTACTCTAATATACACATTAGACATATAGAGCACAACATTTACTAAAAGGGATCTAGAACAACTTTCAAACATAGCACCAAATTCCCCCCATGTGAAATATTTCGAAATAGTTCTTAATTAAAGACATCTTGCAAATGCAACTATCACACATCCATATATATGGTATAAATATGTAATAGAGTATAGCATCTCTGTGACTGATACGATACATTAAACAACTCTCAATATAGAAAAGAACTTGATCATTAAGATCAGCTAGTATTATACCACTACGTGCATGCAATGCTTTCAGCATTCAACTTCATTAAAGAGAAATTTACCATGCAGTAATAAGACCAATTGAAATTTAGAACCTTTAAGCAATGGCCTGTGCTAAGTATGTAGCTTTTTTTTCCCAAGACTTTCCTGAAAGTATTCTCAGAAAAAATCACTACCTAAACTCATCAATGAGGTGCAGTTATAAGCTCTTCATATCAATCATTCAGTTTACAAGAGAAGCAAAGAGAGGAAAAAACAGACCATATGGTTAGATCCATATATAGACAGGAACCATTATTCCTAAGGTTCAACGAAAAGACAACGGAACTAAAGATAAACTTGATAACATTAACATCTACAAGGCCAATTTCATATATACTAAATGAAATGCAAAGTCATCATCAAGTTAACTTTCAAGACACACTGAGTACTTATAACCAAGTTTTGCCCAACTTTACCAATATATCCATAAAACCTCCCAGATCTCTCCCCGCTCCCACTCCCACTCCCCAAGCATCATCTTAAATTACTCCTTGAGCTTCAGTAGTAAATACATATAATCACATAATTTAACACAGCTCCTTTTAACAACCAGGCAACTTCCACATTCAACTTTCAGACTTTATGTTGCTTATTGTGGCTCACTAAGGTTAATTGAGCATCGCAATTTCGCTAAAGCACTCAACAGGTTTTAAAGCATTTCCAGTCGCACGATATAATTGAGTAAAAATAAGTGTATTCTCTCCCCCAGCTTAAGCATTTAAATAAGACCGTCACACATTTCAACACTTCCTTGTCATATTTTTTTTAAAGGTTAAACCACAAAAGGAATGTACAATGTAACAAAAGCCATAAATATTCACACAAAACACGAGTAAAAAACTTACTACATTTACCATGCCTTGTCACGTTTACAATCAATAAGTTAACTCATTGTACTCAATTAGATCTTTCTCGTTTGTTTTCCACATCACACGAATAGCGTCCATCATGTGCTTGATAAAAAGACAGAGTAATAACATTGCGTTACCTTTTGCTCGATCATCAACTTCCAAAGCTATATCAGCGAACAGCTCTTGCAACAAATTACGCCTCAGCGACGGCGAAGTCAATGCCTGAAATCAAAATTTGAGAAAATGCATAGAATTCAACAAACTCAATCAGTCAAATGAAAAACGCAAAATTAAAACTTCAAAAGAAAGGAAACACGCGCACAAAAATCAAAGCATATACGTACACGTTGAAGCTTCTTTTCAATCTCTTGGGTAAGAGCTGTGAGATAAGCGGAGCTTCGAGCTGTAGAAACGGTAGCCATTGTTGATCTCGCTCGATTTCTTCAAAATATACGAACATTGAAGAAACGAAGAAAACAGTGGAATTGCCCTAATCCAGATAATTCAGGATTTTGGATCCAATGGAGGAATATCAACAATTAATTTTATATAAAGCTTTTTATATATCTGTAAATAAACGTTACATTTACAGTGAGAGATTAATTTTAAAGTTAGGGAAGAAGCAGTAACTGAGACTTCATTAATTGATTTATTTTACTTTTGATTTTAAAGCTAAAGTGGCGTGGAAGGGAAGGAATAGGGAGAAGAAAAAAAAGCAATTATTATTTGAGCTATGTGTAGGTGGCGGAACTCGTAGGTGGCGAGGGCAGGGAAAGTAGTGGCTTATGTGGAAGGAAATGGGCACATGGCTTGTGGCTTTTTTATACACGTGGGCTCTGCATTAGTATTTGAATAATGCGAAATTGCGGACTGAGAAAGATAAAATCCACCGATTTTGTCTCTCGTCACGCGCACACACGCGCTTTGCTTTTCAAAAAGTGAGCGGTAAGGTTACTGATGATTTATATCCTTTTTCTTTTTCTCTACAAAAAAAAATAAACACAATTAACTCATGTGCATAACAACCGTAGACTCGTTTGGCACGAGGGATAAAGGATAATTAATTTCGAGATTAAATTTGAGATAAATTTATTCTATTTTTAGTTGAGATAAAATTATAATATAATTAATCTCGAAATTAATTATTCCGAGATTGTAGTATTTTTTTACCCTAATAGAAATATGGAATAACTAATCCTGAAATAACTAATGATAATTAATTATAGAACAACTTGTTTCCCAATCAAACGATCCCATAGAAGTTGAACATAAGCTGCATTATAATAATGTGTAAGAGTAAAATCAAGGGTCATTTGGTACGCGAGATAAGGTAGGATAAAGTGTGGGATTAAAAATACTATATTTGATTGACGGTATAAATTTATTTCCGTCTTAATACAGAATATCCCACCTTATCCCATCAAACTTATTATATTATTCTACCTCCTAGGTGGGATAAATTAGTCCAAAGATTATAAATTATAAACCCGAAATAATTTAGTCCGCATACTAAACGACCCCGCCATTGTAGATGCCAATGTTATATGATACTAGTAGCTAATATATATGTGTTAATATGAGGATAAATCTTTTAATTATAGGATAACTTGTTTCCCTACCCAACGACCCCATAGAAGTTGAACATAAACTGCACTATAATAATGTGTAAGAGTAAAATCAACGGTCGTTTGGTACGCGAGATAAGGTGGGATAAGTGTGGGATTAAAAATATCATATTTGGTTGACGATATAAATTTATCCCAGTGTTAATACAAAATATCCCACCTTATTCCACAAACTTGGGATTATATTATTCCACCTCCTAGATGAGATAAATTAGTCCAGAGATTATGAATTATAACCCCAAAATAATTTAGTCCGCATACTAAACGACCCCGCCATTGTAGATGCCAATGCTATATGATAGGTATTACTAGTAGCTAATATATATGTGTTAATATGAGGACAAATTTTTTGAGATGTGAATAATGTGGTGACAACTTTTTATGAGACAAAATCTGACTTTAGAATATTTGAGCCAAGATAGTTCTAAGGGGAGAGTTCCCAAGTCGTCGTCTATCGAAATGGTCTAAGGAGCAGTGGAGCCTGTGGTCGATCAGTCAACGAGAGACGTAGTTGAGGAGTCAGCAAGGGCCGGGTACGAGGTCGAGTACCGTTGACGAGCTGTAACGACTAGTTTTCAAGACAAGATATTAAGGAGAATATTCTAATGGATATTCTCTGCACTTGTGTTATTAAGGTTTCCTATGTAAATTAAAAAAAAGACAATGATAGGGGACATGTGATATTTATTTGTAAAAATACACACTTTGACTTGAGAAAGAGAATCAGATCCCACTTGCTAAGATATAAACATCACCTTTTCACTAAGATTCTTGTCTATACTTTTCCACAAAATTCGAGAATAATTAAAACATTCAAGGGATCACCTATCATTCTTCATTGTCAGAAGGAACATCCACTTATCCAAGTTTTTCTTGGGTGAATCATTCCTTTTGTACATAAATATTATTTATTGCTACCTATTATCATTAAACGCTATATTTTTGCTTCCGATTTCCCGGACATTTATTGCATAATACTACCACTGTTCGACATGATCCACGCAATATTTGTCGCTTATTTAAGAACTCCATCTAAGGATATTATTGTTAGCTAAGATTAACCCTTAGTCACATAAATTTAATTATTTGAATCAATATTTATATTTTTTAGTCAAACAATTTGGCGCCGTCTGTGGGAATTTCTTAGTTAAATTTTTAGTTTTCTCTAGATCTACAACTAAGACATGTCATTAACGTTAAAAAACCCAAGATCTCCTTTCTTTGTGTATACAAAACCTTACATGGCAGGTAGCCAAGAAGAAAGGACGAGAGTAGCAAGTGATTTCCCAATCAACCTCATGAATGTCATCAACGAAAGTTGTGAAATGGCAGGTGAGGACACGGCGCCCAATGCGTTCCCTAGGCGAGAGGGGTAACAAAACCCCGTGGTAAAGGAGCCTCCACATCCATAGGGGAAAGGATGCCCCCGGCTATGAAAAAACTCCTCGAGGCGTGGCAAACTGACACTCCAACAAGCGTCCTCAGCAAACCCGCTCCAAGCACGACTGTAGAAATCGCAAGGACATGCACGATACAACAAACAGACGAGCAGTGTAACCAACCCCTTCCCCCAACAGGTATAACTCATAATATTATTGATAGTTCAGGTGACAACGCCCTCGCTGCCATTCAAAAAAGGATGGAAAAAATAGAGAATGAAAATAAGGCACTCCAAGACCCGATGAAAGAGCACCAAGAGCGAGTTGACAAGATACCGAGCGCCCCCAAGCTGCTGCTGAACAGGGATGCCGGTAGTGATAATAGCAAGGTCGGGAATCCAAACTAGAGTAAGAATTTAAGAAGTAAATGTGGACGCAATAACAATAAGAAATTGAATGACTAGAATTAAAGTGCAGAAAATAAAGGATATGGGAAAATTCAGGGAAAGAATTCCAAGAACTTCCAAGAACGCAAGTTTTATAGCCTTGACAAGATCTAAGCAACAACGTTTTGATTTATTGAAGAAATCAAAGGCCTTTACTTAAGAACAAATCAAACAATAAATTCGGATCTTGACCGCTTTACGAGTAACTTGAGACAACAATTAATAACTAATATTAATCGCCTTCTAAGAATACCACAAAGGAATCAATAATATCATAATAAAGAAGTTATCTTACCACTTTGAACTATGAACTAGCAAAGGTTGAAAGATAAATCTCAAAGCATAAGTAACAAAGGTTCAAAAGAACTCTTAAAGTATAATATTATTAATCAATAATGAAGTACCACAATGAATGAAAAGAACTCCTATTTATAGGAGATAAAAATCCTTAAAACTAGATAGGGTGGCTGCCAAGGCAAACCCTAACTTGGAGGCTAAGCTAAATACTGGAAAACCCAATAAAAGCTAATAAAAATAAGAGGGTGGGTGGCCAAAACCCTTAGGGGCACATTTGGGTCTTAAAACTACTAGTTTGGGCCATTGGTTTGGACTCCAATTGGGCTCCTTTTGAAACACCTCCTTTTGGACCTCTTTTTGAGCTCATTTTAAGCTCTTCTGGGTGCCCTTTTGGTGGACTTCAAGGGATAATGTTGGGACCCAAACTTCCTCCTATTGGACTTCAATTTGGGCCACCAAATAATTGTAAAACTTGGATAATTCATCTCCTTTGGGCTTGAGCTCTTCCTCTACAATTAAAAGCTTCTTTATTTGGCATTGAAGTACAACAACCTTAGTCTGCAATTCTTTAGCTTGTGATCTTGTAAATGGCCTTCTTGGATCTTCCAAAACTCTATCATTGTCCTTGATTCTATCATTCCCCTCTTCTTGAAAATAATTCGTCCCCGAATTCGATCCTACATCAAACAAAGACAAGTCAGTAACATTGAATGTAGCACTTACTTGAAACTCACCCTGAAGGTCCAACTTGTAAGCATTGTCTCCAATCCTTTCAAGGACTTAAAATGGTCCATCTTCTCTAGGATGCAACTTTGACTTCCTTTTGTAAGGAAATCTCTTCTTTCTAAAGTGAACCCAAACTCAATCTCCAGGTTGAAAAACAACTTGTTTTCGACCCTTATTCTTTCTCAAGGCAGTTTGCTCTTGTTTCTTCTCAATTGCAAGCCTTGTTTGCTCATGAATTTTTTTCATCATTTCAGCCTTTGTCCTACCATCAAGATTAGCAATATCATTATCAGGTAATGGTACAAATAAAGCAGAGTAAAGGGATTAAAATCATAAACAACCTCAAAAGGAGACATACCTGTAGAAGAATGGATTGTTCTATTGTAAGCAAATTCAATCATAAGTAAGTGATCTTCCCAAGAAGTTAATTTACCTTTCAAAACAGCCCTCAACATGTTTCCTAAGGTTCTATTAACTACTTCGGTTTGTCCATCAGTTTGTTGGTGACAAGAAGTAAAAAACAACAATTTAGTGCCTAACTTCCCCCAAAATACACGCCAAAAGTGGCTCAAAAACTTAGCATCCCTATCACTAACAATAGTTCTAGGTATACCATGTAATTTAACAACTTCTTTTACAAATAGATCAGCAACATGTGAAGCATCATTAGTCTTTAAACAAGGAATAAAACGGGCCATTTTGGAGAACCTATCTACCACAACAAATATACTATCCTTACCATACCTTGTTCTAGGCAAATCTAACACAAAATCCATAAAAATATCAATCAAAGATGAAGTAGAAACATGTAATGGCATGTAAAGACCATGTGGTAACACTTTAGATTTAGCTTGTTTACATTCCAAACATTGTGCACACATTTTTTCAATATCTTTTCTCATGCCAGGCCAAAAGAAATTTTCAGCAAGTATGTCTAGTGTCTTTGGGACTCCAAAGTGACCTATAAGGCCTCCACAATGTGCTTCCCTTACAAATACTTCACGTAAAGAGCATTTAGGAATATACAACTTATTTTCCTTAAAAAGAAACCCATCTTGAAGATTAAACCTCTCAAAAGTACCTAACTTACAATCTGCAAAAATCTTGCCAAAATCAACATCATTAGCATAAAGTTCCTTGATTTGATCAAAACCCATCAATTTAGAAGTCAGAGTAGAAACTAAGACATACCTTCTTGAAAGTGCATCAGCAACAATATTCTCTTTCCTTG